GGCTTGATATCTCGATGCACGATGGCAGGATCACAGTCAAAGTGGAGATATGACAACCCTTGAGCAGTTCCAATAGCAATACGGTACCGAACTCTCCATTCTAATGTTACAGGTGGATTAGTCTCATGAAGAATATCATGAAGGCTCCCGTTCTCCATGTAATTGTAAAGAATCAGTCCATAATCCTTTCTCAGCCAGAAGTCTTCTAATTTGACAAGATTACGGTGCCTAACCTTTCCAATTGTCTGAATTTCTCTAACCATACTTGTCCTTCCATCCTTTATACCAACAGACACCAGCTTTTTCACAGCATACGCTTTCCCTGGACCCAAGATGGCCTTATATACAATTCCATGTGCTCCCCTCCCAATGACATACTTATCATTTAGGTTCTGTGTAGCTTCCAATACTTTGTTAAGCAGGGACGAAGCACCTTCTTGAGCAAATATTGCAACTTCTTTCCCAGAATTTTTGCGCCACTGAAGCATGTAAGCAATTACTAGGAATAAGGAAATGGTAAACAACAGTACCCCAACTGCAATCAGTGCCGTTGCTGGTCCACTTAGGTGTCTTCCATTGTTTGATTGAAGATTACAAGGCCGTAGAGTGCTATTCTCAGGGCAATTTGAGCCTTCTTCTGGATTCCAGTGCACGCAAAGGCCCAAGTTTCCCGAGAAAGAGGAAGGAGTTGAGTTTAAGAACTTCATCAGATTTGCCGGCACTGGACCAGAAAAGAGGTTGTGTGATACATTGACGAAGATCAAGGAACGCATCCCATCAAGAACTCTTAAAGTTCCAGAAAGATTATTGTCCGCTATATCTAACTCCTCCAGGAAAGTAAATTTCCCTAGCTCTGCAGGAAGTTCACCTGCCAACCTGTTACTACTCAGATTAAACGACCTTAGTGTTTCTCTTGATGCAGTCGCAATTGCTGAAGAAATGTCCCCACCGAGTGCATTTCCACCAAGCTGCAGCACAGAGAGCTTCTTGAGTTCAAACAAGGAGGTTGGAATACCTCCTGAAAGATCATTCTCATTCAAACTCAAAATGGTTAGCTCTCTAAAGCTTCCGAACGTGGATGGGATCGAGCCACTCAACAAATTATGACTTACGTCAAGCTTCAACAGTCTCTGGCAGTTTGAAAGTTGAGTTGGCAGTAAACCGTCTAAACTATTATAAGACAGATCCAAACTCTGGAGGTTAACAAGGTTTGCCAGCTCCGGCGGTATAAACCCTGAGAGCTTATTCATTGATAAGTCAATTGATGTAACATTGCCAAGATTTGCCAAACTTGGGGGTATTTTACCTCTGAAGCCATTCTCACTGAGATCCAAGAAAATAGGATTTGTGTTCTTAACAAAATCTGGAATGGCACCTGAGAGATTATTCTTTTTGAGAATTACTCTGGTCAAAGTAGAACACTTTCCTAATTGAGAAGGAATGCCACCTTCAAGATGATTATAACCTAACATAAGCTTATTCAGTTGCTTGCCAAAACAAAGATTTGGTGGAACAGGACCTGAAAAGTTGTTGTTGGTGAAATCCAGCAGTGTTAGACTGCTGTTAATCCCCAAACCTTGAGGTATAACTCCAGTAAACTGGTTTTCAAATAAGGATATGTTCCTCAACTGTTCCAACTCGGTCATTTCAAGAGGTAACTCCCCGGTCAGGTTGTTTCTGTAGACGAGAAGATTTTGAAGGCTTTGAATCTTCCAAATGCTGAGGGGAATTTCACCACTCAAATTGTTGGAATACAAAGAGAGATTCTGCAACTGACTGAGAGACCCTAGTTCACTAGGAATTTCACCTTCCAGTTGGTTTTCCGGTAAAAGTAATTCCAGCAAGGCTTGACACTCGCCCAGCTCAGGCGGTATTTTTCCAGAGAAATTGTTGTCATTAAGGTAAAGCTTCTCCAACTTTGTGAGCTGGCCCAGAGAAGCAGGAATAGGGCCACTTAAACCAGAAGAGGTAGCAGCAAGAACTGTTAGGTTACTACAATGCCCCAAACCTTGTGGAAGTCCTCCATTAAAATGGTTGTATGACAAGATCAGATTGTCAAGATATTTGCAGTTACCCGAACCGAAAGGTATACTACCTTCTAGTCTATTATTGCTTACATCCAAATAAACAAGGTGTACTAGCTTATCTAAATGCTCAGGCAAGCTACCAACTAACCGGTTATCATTCAAATACAACTCTTCCAAGTTAGTACAGTTCACTATAGAGGAAGGAATAGGACCTGATAACTCATTATCATAAAGATAGATAGACAAAAGTTGAGTCATGTTACCAATGCTGGATGGAATGGGACCACTTAACTTGTTACTGGTAAAGTAGATGGTCTCCAAGTGTGGGATAGTAAACAAGGAATCGGGAATATTACCAGTCAATGAATTTGAGAACAAGCTTATGTAGGTTAAACTCTGTAAATTTCCAAGATTCTGAGGGATTTGTCCAGTGAAGGCGTTGTAGGACAGATCCAAGTAATCAAGAAGAGTGCAATTGCCGAGCTGGGGAGGAATGGAGCCGGAGAATGTATTAACGCCCAAATCAATGGTAAGCAAGTGCTGCAAGTGACCAATCTCAGGTCCCAATTGGCCAGAGATTCCATAGCCAGACAGGTTGAAAGATGTGATAAATTGTTTGCGATCACATTCAACACCAACCCAAGAACAAGGAGTGGAATCAGAAGCATTCCAAGAAGAGTTAATAGCTGAGGGTACAGTAGTTCAGTGGCTAAGAAGGGAAAGTAGAGCTGTGCCATCAGAGCTAAGAGCATAAACAGACACAGAGAAGCAGCAGCAGTAGAAAAAGATGAAATATTTAAAAGCAGTATTCATAATTTGAACAAGAAGAGTAAGAGAGTAACACTGCTGTTAAAAAATAATTGGGGGTGTGGGTGTGGGTGTGGGTGTGAGTGTGGGAATGAAGAAGAACAAGGCGGTTGTGAAGAAATTTGAAGTGTAGTTTAAGGAGGGGAAAACAAATGATGAAGTAAGCTCTTCTTCTTCATTTGGAATTTTGTAGAATAGTGTGTTGGTCTTCTAATAAGTGTGAAAGGAAATGGGAACACGTTGAAAAACATAAAGGGCTGTCAAAGGGATAAATATGAACTCAACACGAGTGGAGTTTTAACTACCCTAGTGGACGTTTGGACTTCTAAAATTCTAAAAAATGATAGCCGCAGCTGAGCAGGATCCAAAGCCTAGGTTGTGGCCCCTACTAGGGGTAGAGCCCAACTGGAGTAGCACCGTCAACTACGCTAAAAAAAAATTCCAAGCGAAAATGGTATTAAAATTTAGAGTTGTGTTTGGACATGAATATAATTTTAGGTTTGTTTTTGAAATTTTTTGAATGATTTGAGTGAAAATTTTAAAAAATAATATTTTGGAATTTTTTAAATTTAAAAAATACATTTTTAAATAAAAATTAAAAAAATTATAAATAAAATTCTCCTTTCGGGAAAAAAGTGAAAACTTTTCGGGGAGAAGGGAAAAAATTTCTTATGTCCAAAGTCCAAACTGAGGAAGTTGAGGTCGAATTCTTTATTCAGTAAATCATACCTTAATAAAGAAATGGTCCACTGCTTACCAGAAATGTTTCTGCCGGACGTGGCCCACCATCTTCTTTTTCTGCCGAATAGCACTATTCTTTCTTCGTGGACTCTTCATTGACCTTCTTTTACCCAAATTCCATGTCCGACGACGAAGACCTCCTACCGGCAGCTACCGCCACCCACACACCCACTCAGTGTCCCGATAGTTATGAGGCAACTATAATGTAATTATTATTTTATACAATAATTACTAAGAAGGAAGGCATAATACATACTACATAAATACATAGATTTTTCCTTAACATAATGCAATCGCTGTAATTTAATATCACCAATCACATGATGTATAATATATTAGTTATACTGTTTTTTTTTATACAACCAACGAAAAATTTTATTATATCATGCAAAACTTTATGCTGAGTTCAATTATTCAGTTATTACTATATAATCAACCGACCGGCAATGCATGAGCTCCCACCTTGTGTACAAAGTTACAGAAAGACTTGTATAAATATGTACTATGGTCCATAAGTCATACAAATCATTGTTGTTGGTAATTGCTCATGAAGCTGCTAACTTTCATGTAAATATTGGATATGAGTAAATTTTGGCTATATGTAATTGTGTGTTTCATATCTGAAAGTATCGTTTTGATGTCCCATATGTTTGTACATTACCTATGTTTGTATTAGCTGAATTTTCTGGCAAACTTTCCGCTGTCCTATATTTTATTACAGATTTGATCTGCTTTTCTACAAATGGGATTACCATTATTTTGCTTATGGTTGACTTTGAAATTCACTTCCTGTAAACTAGTTTTGCTTAAAAAGTTTCACCACCTAGTTTCGCAATAACAACTTCAATATTCTCTTCTACCACACTAAATCATATGAAAATCGAATTACTATTTCAAACCGGACATAAAATTGAAACAAAATGAGAAATACAAACTGACAGGCCTAAATTGTTTTTTTTTTTTTTGCTTCTTATCTTCTTTGGGCCCTTTCCTTCTTCAATATTTGTCCTTTTACCGGGGAGAATTTTCTCCAAACGGTAACCGGTTTAATGGATCGGATAAGTACTTCCTCCACACTCCACAGGACGAAGTTGTTGAGAAAACATGCCATAAATTCTTTTCTAAAAAGCACCAAAGCCAAAATAACATAATTGTAGTATTTTTATAGTGCGCAATCAGACGGGTTCATAATTCTGATTTATAGTATTCTTAACAACCGCGTTGGAGAAAATTACTGCTCTCACCAAACATAATCATTTGCTTTCACACTACGAAGAAAGCAAACAAAGTTGCCGTTTGCCATGACATGCGATAGAAAGTTCGCCGAGTGTCCATCAATCTCGCTGTTGACTGCATTAACTCTCTGGAGATTATCTTTCCAGTCCCTCCCACCAAATGACCCCCAAATATGCAAATATTAACCAATGAAATAAAGCTATTCGGTCAGCGCCTTTAAAAGTAGAAATACTGGCTGATTTGGATTTCCTAATTCCTACAAAATCCTTTAACTATTTCTTTCCAAAGTCACTCAACTCTAATTGTTACAGATCATATATCCAACCAGTCAACTATGTAAAAAATTTCCACGAATCAAACTTTTGTTTGCAATTAGAGTTGGCTGAAAAACCTAAAAGGAAACAGGCAAGAAAGCTCAAAGCTACCACACCAGCCTGAAACAAAAAAGAACCAGCTTCTCGCGGGGTGCCGCATCAACATCTATAACATGATGTGCACATTCTGCAAGCGGAACAAAATACCTGGACAAAGCAACTCCAGCAATTGGACATCCCCAAATAAAAGGAAGCCCCGTCTTTTTGCACAATTACCTGCATAACACAAGCACAATGCTATTTCCAGACAATCCAGTCGTCTAGGATCTGAAACATGGATGTTATAGTGTTATCATCAGTTTGCATTATGAGGTTAATGGAGTGACTGACAACCCTAACCAGAGAGAGTTGAGATGCATGCTAACCGCATTATGATCTCACTTTATGATGCACATTTTATTTTATTCCACACATAGTATGATGATAAGGTGCTAAAGAAGTTAGACTTGAGGGTTAAAAACATATCTTAGCACTAAAATATATTCCGCAAAGCAATTCTCAAAATGTAGTATAGCATGTGACATAATAGACCAACAAGATTTAACACCAGAAATTAAATGCATCCTTCCTATGACATGTCATAAAATGTGAACCCTGAATAAGCTGACAAATTTTGAGATGACCGTGCTTCAAATGCATGTCTTGGATAAACTATGATATGATCCAAAAAGATGTTCATGTCAAGATGCTAATGCTCATGACTTGATGATAGCAAGGATGCATGCAACAGCTGCATGATGTGTTTGTATTTGGCAGAGCATAGAGAACAGAATACATCCCCTGCAGCTACTGGTAGGTAAGAGGCGGAGGAGCTCCATTTGCATTAGGGGCAGCAGCTGGGTGGCCATCCTTCCTTTTCCCAAATGGATTCTTTGAATATGTAGTTGAATATTAAGGAGAAACATGGCCATCCAAAGAATGTTGTGTTAGATTATACAATTTAAAACTCAGATGACTAAAAGGAGTACTTCCCATGAGATGGTGACTATACATTTGTAGTATAAAGTGCCTTATCTTACTCTCTACATATAGACCTACATAAGTATTTGGGAAAAGGCTATAAATAAAGTTTGTGGTTCTAAAAACATAACCCTTTCTCAAAAGTCACATGCAGAGGTAGATAAAGCACTATCATCATCTTCTCTTTTCATTTCGGATGTCAAAAAGGACTAGTGTCATCTCAGGGAAGAAAAAGAAAAATGAAAAAAGTTTTAGAAGGTTGGCAACAAAATTTTCGCAGGAAGAACAAACCAACATCAGCAATAAAACATTAGTCAGGTCTCATCCTGTTAACAGCAATCTCAATGATATTTCAAAACAGATGATTATCCAATTTTCTGGAAGCTCCAAGCTCCCAATACCAAAGGGAAAACACTTGGAAGTGTTTTGAAATCTCAATGATATTTCAAAACAGATGGTTATCCAATTTCTGGAAGCTCCAAGCTCCCAATACCAAAGGGAGCTTCAGCATGCAAATATTGCCCCTTCAGTGTCCCAACTCAGGATAATTTTGTTCAAAAAGGTTGTATCTGCAGAGGCACAAAGCCCACAGGATACTGCCCCAACACCAAGTCCAAGTCAACACTTGGAAGTGTTTGATTTTTTTTATATTAGAAAAAAAACTCAACACTTCCAAATCGGCAGTCAGATTCAGACTGCTAAAACAACAGTGGCAGAAGCAAGAGAAAGGCACGATTTAAAAATATCAAGCTCCAGCAGATGAGACAGCTAAACAAGAATAAAGGATATTGAATTCGCATGCCAACTGAACCAGAGCTCGGTATGACAGCACCCTGCAAACTGTGATGGACATTGGTGGCACTATTCACATCCTGCATATGCCAGACAGAAGTTGATGATAACATGAAGTAGGAGCATAAATTATGCACACAATCAAAAAAACGCATAAAAAAGGACCCCAGACAGGCAAGGAACTTACTTCAAATTCAATGAAACACACCGTATGTCTTTCCTGTCTCAAAACCTTCATCTGTTTAAAACCAGGTTGTCTGGTAGTACATTAAGCAAATGAATAGATTAGAAAATAGTTAAGACAGAAAAATAAGAAACAGTCAACTTTTGCATAAAAGCAATAGTAAATTGCAGAGCCGTACGCGCTGAAAAGGCCTCTCAGCTCTTCCTCGTTTATATTCTCTCCAAGATTGCCAATAAATAGGGTATTGCAAGGAGGGTTATCTTTAGTATTCTACAAGAATGCAATAATAGATCAGTGGACACAGCAAAATACAAACTATATCAAGCATGATGCATTAATCTTTAGAACGAACATATACTGCACAAATGCTACATCCCCCAGCTGGATAAAGCATAACACTGTCCCACCAATTTCAGCAGTAACACAGTCTCAAAAGAATCAGCAGAACCACAGATATGAAGGAAGTCAGATCCAACCAACTTGACAATAAAAATAATATTCTAGTCCTAAATGCATATGCCATAGTAAACCCAAATCAAAAACAGTAAGAACAAAACCTAAAAAGGAAACATAAACAAAAAGGCATGCAGGAAAGATGTCAACCGTTAGTTAACTCTGGAAAATTTTCAAATCTAACACAAATGACAAAGTTAGAGACATGCATGCATCACCTGGATTGGCACATAACTGCTTGGTGCTGGCACAGGAGCAGGTGCAGGCATTGGCATGTGAGGAACAGGGTAGCCTCCATATGGATCGTATGGTGGAGGAGCTTGAGCGAGATACCTGAGAGACAAGAATCATTGTACTTTTTTAGTTTGGGGGTTTGGGTAGGAAATAAAGGAGATACAACCATTAACTACTAAATAAAGGAACCATTAACCTCCTTTCAACTTTCATTTCTTTTTTCAAAAGAAAGAAACCAATGAGGAACTTGATTATACTACTCCAGGAATTAGCTCTATGTTGTGAGAACAATCAATCCCTATCAGGCTATCACTATCACACTTTTCATCATGGAGTTCGTCTTAAAACAAACATTTTACATTTAGAAAAACTCTTACCCATGTGGTCCCCAGACAGGTGCAGGGGGAGGGGGGTGGAAAGGAGAGGGACTTGAATAACCAGAGTGTGTGTAATCACCCCCAGTACGCAAACGTTTACTCTGGTCATGTGCATTTGAATCAACTACAATCCCTGCAACCAAATCAAATAAGAGCTTCAGAAATGTAGAATTGTTATCATAAAAATAGTAGAATCCCGTGTAAACATAGTTGTGAATTGTGATAACTATAAACAAGTAAATAACAAGAGCTTCAGAAATGGAGATCAATAAAAATAAGAAGAAAAAATTATTAAGCCATTAGGGTTTCTTTATGTATCTTGATGTACTATCTAAAGATAAATCCTGCCCTTATAGGTTAGCAGAAAAGCGAGAAATCTTCCAACTTGCAATCGAATTCATGTAAGCATTAGGTAAGATGATTACAACAACAAGGACAATACATTTTTTTTAAAAAGAGTTAAAGAGTATCTGAGGCACTAAAAGATCACATACAAATTAGGAAAATTAAGAAAATTTGCAAATAGTGGAACAAAACCAATAGAAAATTAGAAACCAGAAAATTCCATTTGAGGAGCTACTCAAAGTTAATGTGCTCCAAAGTATTGCCCTTTCCTTTCTTTTCTTTTTAATCAGTAAAGTGCTCCAAAGTATTCCTGTTTGCGTTGCTTAACACTATTGTGAAATTATCCAAGCAAGGTGAGTAAGCAGTTTTCACAGGGAAACTCGTATTTTGACTCTAGGAACCGTTTGCACCAAGGTTTATCCTCTGCAACAATAGACATAGCCATTTTCCGCATCACAAATCTTACCCTCTAATGTGGCTGGGTGGAACGGGTGCAGGAGGAAGAACAGGGAAAGCCAATAAAAGATTTTAATTCCCTAATCTCCTGACGGAGTGGTTAAGATACTGCTTGACATTCAAACAAAAGTTAGTTGAATTTTCACCTACTACCATCCCTAAGGAAATCTCATGTAAGTTACTTAAGTTCTTTCCGTCGGATATCTACTCAAAAGAACAAGGTTGACCCTCCATGTACATATAGCCTTCTCCAAGCAGTGTCCTAATATCCAGCACACAATCCCACACGAATTTAAACTAGAGATTATCAACCAAAGCAGTTCTAGATATGTAAACTCAAAACAGTCCACAACACATCTCTCTGAGTAATTACTAGCCAGCACTTACCACATACAATAGCTTGCTCTTGTAAGATTTATGTGAAAAGCTAAGCCACCTTAAAAAGAAACAACAGTCAAACTCTTATTTTCTTTTCTTTTTTTTAATATTAACAGTCAATTAGTCTTCTCAAGCACCTTAAAGTTTATGGTTACATAAGCACATGCTGTCAGAAATACAATGGCCCATAGACTTCCAACTGACAATCGCTTACCATTTACTCTGTTAGAGTAACACATTGGTTGTGGATGGGGTATTTGGTCATAGTTTTGGGCAATCATCACCTCAAGGTCTAGCTTTTAGGAATGAGTTAAGCCCAGGAGTCTTTACATACTCAAATAAAATGGAGTATGTACTTATTCTTTGGAAAATGACAGTTGGATAGTCGTCTTTGACTCAAACAAACTGCACTTGTAACTAACGACAAGGTGGGTTGCTCTGATGGTAAGCACCCTCCACTTCCAACCAAGAGGTTGTGAGTTCGAGTCACCCCAAGAGCAAGGTGGGGTTCTTGGAGGGAAGGATGCCGAGGGTCTATTGGAAACAGCCTCTCTACCCCAGGGTAGGGGTAAGGTCTGCGTATACACTACCCTCCCCAGACCCCACTAATGGGATTATACTGGGTTGTTGTTGTATTAGTTAGTTTCACAAATACACCCCCCCCCCCCCGGAAAGACTAAGAGAATAATCCTAAATGACTTCTCAATCGCCTTTGTGAACATCCTCTACAACATTTCACTCAAGCATGGGCTTATTGGAGCTCCTCAAACAAATCCACCAAAGATAGTACCCCAATTTATAATACTTGCTTTATTTAACCAAAGAAAGTAAGCTTCTTTTTTTCTGCAACACCTCGATTATATGAATATGAATTTAACTTTTTCAATAAAAGCACAAAGCTAAAAAATGATAACTTGAAGAATAAAAAAGCACCTCTTTTGACAAAGAGATTCTTCTTTGCCATCTCCGTGTGCAGAATACATTTGGCCTCCGTGTCAAAACACAAACCCTAAATCCATCCAAGAATGAATCCATGCAAAATTAAGACGTTTATGGCGGGAAATAATCTCCATAAAAGTATAATGAAAAAAGACCTGAAGGGCGTCCTTGGCACCGATAGCGAATTGATGGTTAGAGAATAGGGCAAACCCCATGGGAACTTCGCCTTTGAAATTGACCTGAGATGCTTCATAACCTGGTAACCACCTCATAAGGTTGACCAATTCTCTCTCCTTTACGTCCTGCGGTAGCCCAGAGATGAATATTGTCCGTACCTGAAAATGCCAGCACACATAATGAATCAGAACAATGGCGGATAAAGCGCGAGTTTGAATGTGTGAGGATATGCGTGTTTACCTCGTCGATAGGCATTGAGGGAGGGTGGTGATGTGGCGCAGCTGCAGCAGAAGCAGGCGGAGGGCCTGGAGCTGGAGGCCATTGTTGGTGGTATGGGTGAATCCCAGTACCGGCCATCTGCAATCGATGAATCCTTTTGCTCAAAGCTCAATTTCAATGACAGCGCTATAAATCTAAACCCTAGAACGAGGGATTTGGGAATTTGGGGTAATAAGAAAGACGACAAAGAGAAAGTGTTTTTTTTTTCTTTTTCTTTTGGGTGGAGAATGGTCTTCGTTAGAATAAAAAAAAAAAAAAAA